AACAGCGAAATGGCAGCAAGTCTGGACTACTTGAGACTTCCCGGCGCTCTGCAGGTTCTCAAAGGTGGCGTCGATCAAGAAATCATGCCAGATGAAGAGTTCAGGACTTGGTGTGAGGATGTTGCAGGGCATGAAGATCCCGCCGCCATTTTCGATATCTTGAGATCCGACAAGGATATCATTGTGAACACACTGGATAAGAACACGAAACAACTGGATATGGAAGAAAGTGTGTGCGAGAAGATGCGATCCAAATACGAGAACGAATGGACCCAGCAACCGAGTTCGAGATTAACATCAACTCTGCGAAGCGATATCAGGAACTACCGAGAAGCGTTGGAAGAGGCAGCGAGAAGCGACAATCAACTAGCGGCAAAATTACGGCAAAATGAAGTCGAATTCGAGGAGATGAGGGCGGCAGCCTCCCACGGAAGTATCGAGTCCCTGTTTCAGCATGCCGTCAGCAAGGTGCGCGGAAAATTGAGCAATGTGACGAGTCCTTTGGGCAACGAGCCAAACCTCCTGGATGTCGACTTTGACGAAGGGGGCCCGAGTGTCGTTGACCAAATCCACAAAGTGGAAGAGATCATGAAGAAGTTGAACCTGATCAAAAGAGAACGCAATCAAGTGTTGAAAGACCTCAAGGAAAAGGTTTGTCCATTGAAGTCCTTGCAGAAAGCCGACCAATGCACTAATATCCGTAGGTTCACAACGACGACATCTCGGAAATTCTGATTTTGAACAAAAAGTCAATAACCAATTACGAGAACCAACTCTTCCAGTCAGAGTTGGAAAAGTTCCGGCCATACCAGAACAGATTGCTACAGGCAAATCACAAGCAGTCCGCCTTGATGAAGGACTTGACAACCAGCTTCAACACACTGCTGCAGGACAAGCGGGTCCGTTCGGAGCAGAACAAGTACGAGACAGTGCAACGCCAAAGGACATCGGTCATGAACAAGTACAAGCGGGCGTATCAGGAGTTCCTCGACCTGGAGGCTGGTCTTCAAGGTGCCAAGACTTGGTATGCTGAGATGAAGGAGACCGTACAAAGCCTTGAGAAGAACGTCGATACGTTCGTCAACAACAGGCGGTCTGAGGGGGCTCAACTCCTCAACAGCATTGAGCAGGAGCGGTCGACTCGTAAAGACGCACATGCTGAGCTGGAGCGCGAGCGTCTGAGGGGTTTGATGGAGCGTATGTCCATGGAGCCTCCTGTGTCGTCACCCAAGCCCGCCTCGAACCGGCCAACGCCGTCGCCTTTGAACTTCGCCAACAACTCGACTCCGCGATACCCCCAGACCAACTTTTCGGGTCAGTACCAAGTCCCTCAGTCTCCGCCTCCGAACCAGCAGCAATACCCGAGCTTCGCCGCCCCTCCCACCTCGCAATCTTACACGCCTCAGCCGGCGAATACATACGGCCAGCCAGCATACAATCCGAGTCAGTACGGCCGCACTCCCGGCCCAACATCACCGCCTCCCCACCAGTCCACTTTTGGCCCAACTGTCTTGCGAGGCCCGGCTTCGCCCCCGCCAACGCAGACCTCATTCAATCAGAACCAGCAGTACGGCAGTTTCCCTAACCCACAGCAACAACAGCAACAAATGCCTGCCGGGTTCGTTCCGCCGCCTCCGCCTCCTGGTCCTCCACCATTGGGCCCTCAGCAGACTTTCTACGGCCAGCAGGATTACCAACAGCAGCAACAGCAACAACAAAACTATCCGCAGCAAAACCCACAAAGTGCCTACCCTTCTAGTGCGCACCCACGGTCAGCTCAGCCTCAACAGAACAGTGATCCTTGGGCGGGATTGAACAATTGGAAATAAGAGTGGCTAGAAATGACGAGCCGCAAGTTGAGGACGTTGATAACACTTCAAGTAGTGGTAGCTTTTGCGCGAAGCACGCAACTGAGAGTTATGTAGCTGTTTAACATCTAAGACGAGGGAGTGTTGGTTGCAGGCAGGATGGTACCACAAAATCAATGGTTCGAGTAGGCCTAAGGCGTGATGAGGCTTGCCGGTAGGCACAACAGACTAGCAAGACATTTTGAGAGGGGGAAAGCCGAATGAGAGTGGTGAGCGGCTTATACATAGACCAAACAACCAACCACAATTGCATAAAGTAACATCCCATTGATTGATGTGACGGACTGTCCAGGTAGTCTGAGATAGGTTTTCATCACCTCGAGCTCCCAGATTAGTGCATGCCCACCCAACCATGGGTAAAGTAAACACTTCTTTCGAACTATCAGAAATGCTTCAAAGAAAAAAGAAAAAAAAAAGAGTTCACCCCCCCGGTGGCGAATGGGGACTACATCTCTGGTGCTCATGCTGGGACTCGAACACGGGACCTCTGAGCCTTCACCGAGTAGGCTGTTCGTGGACTTCAACCACTCCACCAACCAGCCAGCTTTGACCTGACCCCCGAGGAGGCGCCTGCTGGCTGGTGACTGGAATGGAGGTGAGGTGGTATATATGGGATTGTTGTGTGTTCAGGGAGAAGGCGCGATCGGTGAGGTACCTGCTAGGAGTGAGTTAAGGTGGCTCATGATGAGTGGATGGATAGAGCGGTGAACCAGCACTTCGTTCATACGTCTAGGAGAGGTTTTGACCATGGTCTACCTTTTCCGAGGCGAGGGTGTGAGGAGAGGATATGAACAGCAGCTGAGGTGTATATGGCGTCGTGGTGGATTGGTTGAGAGGTGGTAAGGGACTGCGAGTTGGAGCTTCGTGGCCCTTCCTATTGCAAGCCTCCATATCTATCCAATTATTTCGGGCTTATATCTCAATTCTTATTCGCAACCCCAGCCGCCGCATCGCCGGACTCTTGATTCTCGGACCTTGTCGCGGGTGGAAACTTTGGCGTCCCATTCGCGTCCGTACCCCAGCCGCCGTAACCGGTCTCAGCCATCATACCACCCAGACCCGACGGGCTGCCGGCCGTGATGCTCCCCGCTGCCCTGTTCCCGCCCACGCCGGGACGATCGGCCGCCCACCCGTTTAGGGTGTCTTTGCTCATGCCGGTGTACTTTAGAACGTCGGCGTCTGAGATTTCTCCTCTTTTGGAGTCTTGGAATCTGCGGTATAGAGATTTCTTTGGCGCGGGGCTGGTTTGAGACTCGCTTGTGGGGTCGTTGTTGATTAGAGGCTTGGTGCTGTCGGTTTTGGAGAGGCGAGAGAACATGCTGAACTGAGTTGGGTGAGGATTTTGGCCGACTTTTGAGAGAGGAACTTGGTGTGTGAGAGGGTAGTGGATGGCACGTTGAGTGATGAAAGGTAGGCAAAAGATGAGGTTGTGGAACTGAGCTATAGATGTCTGCTTGAGTTATTCGAACCCGATGCAGTTGCTGCTACTTATGCATCTGGCGAGCTCTCTTGAGCCTTTGACACATGAGAACTGAGTTGCATCGATCTAACCAGTTGTAGGATATGGAACCGTTGCTTCACACGACCCCGCCTAAATAAGGTATTCACCTGCCCAAAGAAGCTTATTTCCTGGGGGATAAACCTTGAAGGGAACGCAAGCGTAGTCCGTATAAGTCCGCGAACTGTGCAAGGGTATGATCACTCATTCACCATCAAGAGATGAAGTCGAAATCACTTGACGGCTACAGTATCCTAGCTTGAATCCGCAATATGTTCTCGGCTCGTGTGGCCTTGATATGGAGGGCGACCAAAACATACGTGATGGCTTGTCTACATAAGATGACTTATGATGATATCCATCCTTGCCTATAGATTGACCGTGTTTCACGTTTCTCTGTGTGAACGTGTCTATCCACGAGCTCATAACTTAGACATGATTGGGCAGCTAATGATTCTAGAGAATGCAAGCATATACTAAGACCATGAAGAGAGTCTGGGTCGCTTAAAGAATTGGTTTCCAGATCTGGGTGCATGGGGGCTGGTGACCCTGATGAGACCCTCAAAAGGGCCGATGGGTACGAGAATCGGTTGATGTAATCCACAACCTTATATGCGGTCCAATTGGAATTCATAGTGTAAAGGGTTGTTCGTTGGTTGTCTGTTGGATGTTCGTTGGTTGTTGTTCTTCAATCCAGTCTTGGCACTAGACTACAAAGGACCCTGGAACTGGACCTTAGTATCAACGGTCAGCAGAACTCGATCGGAATTTCATTATGACTACCACCAGACCAGACCGTATGTGATTTTCTGAAACAAGACACAGCCGGCACATAGGCTACTTGAGGAAAGTCTCATGATGTCCGAGGAACCGTGAATGATTCCTGGGTGAAATATTGCGAGGCTTTTCCAGCCTGATCCTGGGCGTAGGCGGCGCAGTTCGCGATATGTCGTTTGAAGAAACAGAGGCTTTACACAGTGAAACCACCCATACAAAGATGCGTAATACGATTGCTACGGCTGTGCTCTTTGCTGCAGCTCCTGCTGCCTCAAGTGCTTTCTATCGTATTCTTGGCCCTCAGATATCTTCCCATGCCGTTTAGTATCTGATATCGCAAATCTCTCACGTCGTTCTTTCTATCAACAGGCACTGACTTTGAAACGTCTCATTGAAGGGTACAGAGTTGAGCCTATTGATTAGAGGTTCAACGTAGATACGACTGGAACGGGGACCTCTGTCAAGCTGAACGGGACTATGAACGAGGTTTGGCCTCATGGCATCTGATCTATTAAGCCAGTGAGGGGCTTTTTTCTTCAACAGCCTTTAATGAAACACTACAGTCTTATTCACGTAGATTGTAGCAAGCTTTCGGTAAGTTTCTAACCAAGTTTGTCCCCTCAACAAACGACGAAATTTACTCCATCTGTTGTACTTTACTAGCTATCCTAACTTAGTCTCCCCCAGCTAGACTTCTACCGCGGAAATGTTTTAGGTCGAAGCTTTAGTAAATGCGGCGCCTGAATTCCCAGTGAGATTCAATATTCCACCCACAAATCAATTCCAAACAGCCTCGCGTGCGATGGAGGCGCGTCCAGCAGTCATCACCACCTAGACCCAAACCATCTAGGCTCCTCTCAAGACCAAGACTCGTAACGCAAATCGTAATCATCCAACTCTTCATACTCCATGTCGGCCGTATTACCTACATCGGGAGGTAAATCCCTGGGGAGAACGCCGAAGCTGATCAACACTTGCCTCTCCATCTGGAGTTCCTGTATAAGATACGCTGCCACATCCATCTTGTCTTTCCGCCTCTCATATCTAAGCCTTTGCCTCCTCGCTCCGTCGATACTTTCGCACCGTTTTCTTCTTGTGGTCCGGATTTCGTCTTCCTTTCTCCTGGGCCGTACAAAGGCCAGCTGAGCCAAATCTGCCCCTGCTTCTTCAACAAGAAACTTGATCATAACGAGAGACGGCATATAACCGAAAATTGCAGCATCCAGGATACTGCCATATTCTCCGAACTCCAGATACGCATTGACTTCGGCGCCATGTTCAATCAGCAACCGAGCACAACCCACGTCTGCCGTCAATACAGCAGCCGCCAGGGGACTGCCAAATTTACCACCTTCCGGCATAGCGTTGACATCAGCTTCGTGCTCTAGAAGAAAGCAAGCAATATCAATATGGCCTAGGTGTACGGCAGAAGCCAGAGGGCTTCCATAGTTGTCTTTGAGATTCTCCGGATTGACATCTGCTCCCTTGCTAACCAGGGCTTTTATGGCGTCGAGATCGCCCTCATAGGCAGCCGCTGATAGGGCACAACCAAAGAAGCACCTGCGACGACATTTAATATTGGGATCCAGGCCGTTCTCCAGTAGAATAGTGCAATACTCAGATCCCACAGTGGCTGCCAGACAAGCTAGAGTTCTGTCTCTGTGGACGCAGTCCGTGTTTGCACCGTTCTTGAGGAGCAGTTCCATGACATCAATCTTTCGCCGGTCTACTGATATCCACAACGGAGGGCCGTAACCAAGGGCGCCAGAAGATGCGTTGACGTCACAACCCCGACTGATCAGGAATTGACAGACGTTGTAGTGGCCATACAAGGTGGCAATCTGCAGCAGGCTCAAGCCGTTCTCATTCACCATCGAGGGGAGGTCGAGGCCTTCGTACCACCACTCAGGCAGGAACCGATGAAGATCCATTGCCACAACGCCAAAGGCGAAGTTGGCAATTGGCTGTATATGTTGAGGTACGTCCCAGATGAATCTCAGGCTGCAAGATATCTGGTACTCCCTCGAAGAATGAGGAGGACATTCTTCACCCAGGAATCGTTTCAAAGCAAAGGCTACGTCTTCAGCTCTGTCGTCTTGTTCTGAAAGATCGTGTATGTGTGCGACCCAGTTCAGTTGAATGTACGCTTGAAGTGGATGCCGAGGATCTAAGGGCTGGTCAATGTCCGCCCCTCCTGCCGCCATCCATTCGTCGAATGCTAGGCTTGATCTTTCGTATGATATTTCCTGGAGTTCCCTTGTGTAGGGGTCGACATCTGGGGGCAGCCAGATAGATGAGTAAGCTGCGCAGCAATCCCTCAAGCAGTTGATCAAGACAATTGCTACCTCCGCTGGCGCGTCTTTGATCCACGGCTCTCCCTTCTTATCTCCAAAGTATTCTCTGACCGATGCATGGGAAAACCTCCAGACATTGAGCTCTGGGTCTCTCACGATCAAATGTCGGCAGACAGTCTCCAACATTTTCTCGGTGAGATCTGACTTGTCGAGAGCCTTTATGCCGTCTCTATGCATCTGTTCGCTTTCCACTCGAATTGCTGACAGCAATTTGCAACTGTCCAACGGGTGGCGGGCGCACATGACCCATCTCACCGCTCGCTGCAGCATGAAACGCTCGAAGCTCTCAGGCTCGTGTTTATCGCAAATCTCGTCGTAGGCTTTAGTCAGAGTTTTGGGAAGTTTCCCAAGTCTGGCTACGACACTGCTATTGGTCTCGAACTCCTTGAGCTGTTCCCATTGCAGGTAAGTCCATCGGAACCTAATTTGTATCAGTCAGCTTAAGTAGGCAAGGATATTGTCTGAGCTAGAACTCACATTCCCGTGCTCTTCTCCACAAGCTTCTTTTTAACGACCTGCTTAGTTTCAGGGCTCCAATATACAGTGAAGTTGTCTACCTCTGTATTGACAAACTTCTCGATGTCGCCTTGATTATCAGATGTGTCGATTATGATCGTCGCCCTCAGCTCTTGGAATGACCTCAGATGGTCACTAATATCGTGCTCTGGGCGGCTGGCGATGAATATCTTCAAACAACCATTGGTTTTCTCTACTAGACGCTTGAAGAGCTGAACGATCTGCCGTCTCGTGTCTTTCTTGCACTCATCCAATGCGTCGAGTATCAGAACAGTTCGAGGGTAGCTGTTTATCATCTCTACCAACGCTGTCTCGCATTCCTGGAGCGTGATATCGCTTTGAGTTTGTTTCCGCTGGTATAGATTGAACAATGTCTCATGAATGCCCTCAGGATGATCGGTCACCTCGCCTAGTTGTCGAATGTAGCTTCGGAGAATGGATTTAATGCTTTGCCGATTCTGATCAGAGCTGTTACAGTAGAAGAAGGCGAAGCCCAGGCTGGGCTGACTGGGCGATTGGCTGGTAAATGTTTTCTGAATTCGATAATGATCAATCACTTTCGAAGATAAGAACGATTTGCCCGTACCGACTGTAGAACAGAACCGTGGTCAGTTTATTGTTACACAAAACAGCCTTCGAGTCTTGATACTTACTATTACCTTGCAACCAAAACACCGGAGTGGAATCAGAGTCTTCCCATTTAAGGAATTCAGGATGGCTGACCAACCATTCGCATGTGCCCTCGGTTCTGTTTTCGGCCTTCTCGTTATGATGAGATCCGACTGGAATGTCACTGGCGTATTCCATAGCCTTGTCTATTTCTTGCTTGTTAAGCGCTTCAAGAATATATCTGACATTCTTGTCGGTACGCTTGATCGGTTCTTCAAGACTTTCAAGCAGTCTTCGACACTTATCATCCGCTTTGGCCTTACAAGGAAGAGTTGCGAACTCAAGTTCACGCTCAAGTGCCTTTACTGTTGATAGACGGTTGTTGCCATAGCCTGGGTCGACGAGTGTGTTGAAGAATCGGCGTGAAACGCCATGCTTTATCTCTTCGTGGACAAAAGCAAGAAACTCCAAGCATTTCGTGTATACCTCAACTAACTTCGTCATCAAATCTTCCTGATATAGCGGCCTAGGCGACATGGAGTAACCAATGTAGACCTCCTCGTACACTCGACCACGCCTCACGAGGCAGAGGACTATGTCGGTACATCCCATGATAGCCACAAGATCCTCGCGCTCAGATACGTGGGTCTGCAAGATCATTAGATCAAAGTGTTGGCAAAGTATATTCATGCTTTGCTGCAATACATACCGTCAGAAGCACCTTGATAGCTGACCACACGACGTTAGATGGCGCAGGGGCAAAGTTGATAGCAATATCTCCAATTGCAGTCACCACAGGCATAACTTTGTTCGCATAATCCCTCCACAGAATCTCCCGGTCGCCGGACTTGAGCTTCAGCGCCTCTTGCTTGCGTTCCTCTTCGCTAGTGCGGACCAACTCCGCCAGCTCACCTGCAGGATCTTGAGCATTGAATGGTGGAGGAAGACTGGCGATCCATGTCTGGGTTTTGACGTCCACCTTCTTGCATGCTTCCTGCCATAAATCAATGGTTGAAGTAGAGCCGTCCAATGCAGAGGACCCTGGAACGTTGGAAGCAGGAAGGAGTGATGGGTTATCCGCAATACCAGTAGATGATGTCGCACGTGGGACGCCTGGTACTGAATCACGACGTACGACCTTGGGGTCTGTAGGCTCAGGCTTCTCATCGTCAGCAGATTTTGACGCTGGTAGGACGTCAACACCGGTCGAAGGAGACCTTGAAACGTCATGGCGCGGCTTCTCTCGTCTCTTGAAGCAAGAGCATATGGCGGAAAGGCAACCGCCGTCGGATTGGCGGGAGTCGGTCATACCGCAGTGAAGGATGCCTCTTTATAAGTCGCAAGTTTGTAAAGAAGCAATTCAGAAGGAGGATGTGTTAATAGAAAAACGTCAGGACGAAAAGAATGCATGGTCAGATGCTAACCCCTTTACCCCGTTCCCCCCTCAAGTCGAAGTTCCTGCAGCTGTCCCTTTCTAATTTTCCATGCAGCCTGGGCTGCATCTACTAAGTCTGTTGCCCATGGAATATCTAGGTCTGACGGGCCAGGTCCTCTCCAAGACCTATCAAAAGTTCGACCGAGCCGCTCAGGCCCCAACAGTCAAGACCTGCATCTGCAGCTGGACTCGAATAGGTTGCACTGATTGGGCCTTGAGTCGAGGTGTCCAACAGACCCCCGCAACCTTTGAAGTTCGGGCTAGGTGTTATGTCCTCCCCATCCCCCCTCCCAGCGAATGAAGCCTTGGGCATAGTTCCTCTATCTTCAGCACTCGCTTGATTGCATCTGAGATCTGACCGCTTTGCCGCTGTGGGCAGATTCAAGTTGCAAATGTACTGTAGGATGGACCTGCAGGACCCTGGGCCCATGGGCTGATAGCCTGACATGTACGAGTCCTTTTGGTGAAAAAATGTGGACAAAGCCAGTTGGTGCATTTTAACAATCGGCTTTATCGATTTGCGGTTATGGATGTCATTAGACATGGATTGTATTTTATAATTCATTAGTCGGTAAGGTCGGCTGTCTTTGCCACACTTCCTTGGATGTTCCTCCTGGAATTAGATCAAAATCTATTCGTAATCGCAACTGCAGGCTTTATTACAAGGTATTTCGATATGTGACAAATAAGCCTTGATTAAGACATGCCATGATGCAATCTAGAATAACCGGGAAGAGTATACGTTGTATATACATAATCAGTCACCATGTCGGCAATGCCCGGGTGCAAGTTGCTTCCGAGCCAAACAATTGACTCATTGATTGGTTACAAAACGTTTGTATTTGCAATGAGGTCGGTGTATTCTATGAACTGTTGTTCATACATATTTCATTATAGCACTGCAAGTGGTCGACACCGAGAGTCTGGTTCTGCCGGAGTTTTAAAGGTTCCGCACTCTACCTTACAGAAAGGTAAGCAGTTTGGGCGGACTAGGAAGCGATCTTCAGGCGACTGCACACTAAGCGGCGTACGGGCTCTTGAGGACTGTTCTTTGCCGTTGTCAGGCTGCCGAAGGACTTGCCGCAGGGTCATCCCGTGGTCTTGGCTCGCTTTTCATCCCATGTCAAGCCACCTCGACCAAGCCAACATCGTGCGTTGCCCGCAGACTGGCCATCGAGTTTCTGTTGTAGCATGAACTTCTCAAACAAAAATTGGGACAAAGATGCCTCGTGTCCTCCCATGGGGAAGCTTTCGCCTGTATCACGGGAGGCAAGGATTTCGGAATGAACTGGTTTCTCGGAATTTGCGAACGGACAGAACATTGGATATGAATACAAATACCGGTGTATTAGATTCGCATTCGAGACCAAAGTTGACAGTTTTGTGACAAGAACCTTTCAGAGAAAAGTAGAAGACTTGTAACTGAGAAGTACCGCACATCAGCTTCGATCGTCCTAGCCAGTTGTCATGGATGAGAAATCCGTTTTGAGAAATCGCGAGAGGAGCTTCTACAAGCTTGATCTCACCAAGAATCTCCCTCCAGGAACCGATAGCATAAGTCAATTTGAAGCTCATCCACGACAACCAAGACCACCGGCAGAACCCAAAAGGCCGGTCCCAGAATGGCCACCGGAGGCAGAGAGGAAAGGGAAGTGGATATCGGCGTATCTTGACCAGGTTGGTAACAACAAAAGCAGCAATAAGATCCAAATATTCGGAACGAATTCATTGACGTGCCATAGCTCGACCCAGAAACCGAGTACGACCGCATCATCCAGACCTCGACCTTCTTCACCGGCTCCAGCTTCGCCATCGCCATGGGCTACACCTCGACCCTCATCCTCTTGACGCAGACGCCGGCGGGCGCCTCAGCAGTCCATAGCACGGGCAAGCTCTTCCGCCGCGGCCATCAGCGCTTCTACGAGACGCAGGACCGGCTCCTCGACTGGATGTGGTACGGTAGCGCCTCCCCGCAGGCCGTCGAGGGCATCGAGAGGGTCAATAAGATCCACGCCGGTGTGTGGAAGAATGCGCCGGGGACGTTCAGCCACCCCTGGGAGGGCCAGATGTCGCTCATCGGGTCAGCGTACTTTGAGACGTACCTGAGGGACCTCGTCGGGGCGAGGGTCAGGGACATACACCCCAAGCTGGCGGCGGCGTGGCCGGCGTGGGCCGAGAGGGCGTGTGCGCACTTTCGGTCGGAGCCAGAGGACGGGTCGAGGAGCTTTGGGGTGAATTTCCCGAGGGACTGGAAGGAACTTGAGGCTTTTCACAAGTGGTATCGGGAGCTGCCGTTTGATCAGTATACCAGTGAGGAAGAAAGAGTCAAGGGGGCTGTGATATCTAAGGGGGTTGTTGATCAGTTCGCCGAACTATGGTTTCCAAGGTACGTTTCACTGAACATCCCCGACATCTGCCAATGGCATATCTCATGAATGGGCAGGTATCTCCAATGGTTCGGCCGACAGCTGTTCCTCACCATCGTACCACCCAAGGTCCGAGAACAACAGCGCACCGGGCACCCCAACCCTTTAGTGGCCAAGCTTGTCAAACTTCTCCTCAAGATACAAATCGACCTGGCTGACATCATGCCGGACCCCGCGAGGCCCATCTTGAGGGACGAGTACCATACGATCAAGAGTTGGGAATGGTACAAGATAGATGCTCAAGTGGTTGAGAAGCGGAGAAAGCAGGCGTCGCTGATCAGGACCTTACTCCTGGGGGTGCTACTGATACTTATTGCGATTGTCCTTATGAGGGGCTGGGCAGTGGGAGGTAAGCCGGGAACGGCAATCCACGGGCTCAAGGTTAGTCCCTCATGAAAGTGAAAGTACATGTGTGGTGTTCTGGGGATTGAGTGTATAGGCCTTCGTGACTATGGTCAACCAAAGCACCATTATCTAAGAATATGCCAGCGAAGACGCCAATTCAGTTTCTGACAACCCAGGAGCTGCACCCATTGATGCATACGATCGAACAATGCCTACCCAGCTTTTTCCATAACGGCCCCTATCACACCAGTGATTGCTCCTATCATAAATAGGGATTGAAGTTGAGGAGGTCCTTAATGTCGAGAATGAGTGTCTGCTTATGATTTACGTGACTTTCAATACGCGTAAAACGGTGGCGACGAGCACTTAAGGGAATAGACTTCATGGTACCGGTCGAAAGGAACGATTAGATTAAGACTAAGTTGGCGTTGACGGCTCGAGTGGCGCATACACACGTGTGTAGTTGAGATAAAGAAGGGCCATCCCGCACCCTCCTTCGGAAGTGTAGCCGCGAGTATCCGTATCAGCAGCGGGTTCCAAGCCGAAAAGATTGCGGTTGGCGTTGCTGTCGCTGGTATGCTGCCCACGACGAACGCGTGGGTGTGCGACGGTGCGTGGGTGGGCACGGATTGCCTTTCGGGGATAGCCCGGGATGGAGACCGGTAGCAGTTTACACCGAGGAAGTGCAAGTGTGGAGGACGTCACCGACAAATTACCCCGCACCCCATTGACCCGAGATGGGCCGCTAGCGCTGCACTGGAGCCAGTGTGGGGCGCGGCAGTCTGCGACGGTACAATGAAGAGCGAGCTGATGACCTTTGATGGGTTTCGCCCCCCGGCAACCGTCTCTTTTCTCCAAGTCGGAATCCCCCCCTTCAAGAGAAGATAGGTGCTTGCTTCCCCCAACATTTCTGACCTAGGAGAACTTTTTGGAGTCCCGATTCTCGGACTGACTAGCGAGACGACACCTACATCTTTTTCTGCTCTTGGTTCCGGCCCCTAGATCTGCGTCGGCTTCTCTTCCATTACTTCTTCTGCCCGTCATTGGTGTTTGTAAAACGTGCTATTCCCGGTCTCTCTGATTTGAAATACCTTGGATTCGACTAGACCAGCAAGCAAGCCACCCATAAATCAGACACTACCCCGTGGAGAAAGATCTACCTCTTTGTCGGCCTTTACCCCGGATTTTCCAACCTGTCGATAAACTTCCAAGTTCCTTTTCTTCCCTTCGTCCGGAACAACGACAACAATCGCAACGAACAGCAGGCAAAATGGGCTTGAAGGGTGACGATATCGCGAAGCACAACAGTGCCGACTCTTGCTGGGTCATTGTTCACGTAAGTTATGATGAGGTGTCGATTCAATGTCAATTGGCAGGCAATTGACATTGGCTACCTGACAGGGCAAAGCTTACGATGTGACGGACTTCTTGCCTGGTAAGTTCTTCTACAGTACCCTTAAGTGCTTTCCCTGCTAACGACGACCCTCAGAGCACCCCGGTGGCTCAAAAATCATCCTCAAGTACGCCGGCAAAGATGCGACGGAAGAGTTCGACCCCATCCACCCGCCCGACACCCTCGATAAGTACCTCGAGCAGTCCAAGCATCTTGGCCCCGTCGACATGACCTCTGTAGTGGCTGAGGAGAAAGAAGAGGATCCCGAAGAGATTGAGCGCTTGGAGAGGGTTGAGCAGAAGCCACTGTTGTCCCAATGTTACAACCTGATGGATTTCGAGGCCGTAGCGCGCAGAGTCATGAAGAAGACGGCTTGGGGATACTACTCGAGTGCAGCCGACGACGAAATCGTAGGTCGACCCCGCAAAATCGCACCCACCAGAGGACCAGACACAATTTCTCACTGATCTGTTCTGTAGACATTGCGCGAAAACCATGGTGCCTTCCACAGAATCTGGTTCCGGCCGCAGATCCTTGTCGACGTCGAAAAGGTAGACTTCACCACCACCATGCTCGGCGCAAAGGTCGACATGCCCTTCTACGTCACCGCCACCGCCCTCGGCAAGCTGGGCCACCCCGAGGGCGAGGTCCTCCTCACCCGCGCCTCCCGCAAGCACAACGTCATCCAGATGATCCCGACGCTGGCCTCGTGCTCCTTTGACGAGCTCATGGACGCCGCCGAGGGCGACCAGGTGCAGTGGATGCAGCTCTACGTCAACAAGGACCGCGAGATCACAAAGAAGATTGTGCAGCACGCCGAGGCCCGCGGCTGCAAGGGCCTCTTCATCACCGTCGACGCGCCGCAGCTGGGTCGTCGCGAGAAGGATATGCGGTCCAAGTTCACCGACCCGGGCGCCAACGTGCAGTCGGGCCAGGCGACGGATCAGAGCCAGGGTGCTGCTCGCGCCATTTCGTCTTTTATCGACCCGGCCCTGTCGTGGAAGGATATCCCCTGGTTCAAGTCCATCACCAACATGCCCATCATCCTGAAGGGTGTGCAGCGTGTTGAGGACGTCATCAAGGCTATCGAGGCCGGTGTCCAGGGTGTTGTGCTCTCCAACCACGGTGGTCGCCAGCTCGACTTTGCCCGGTCCGGCATTGAGGTCCTCGCCGAGACGATGCCGGTGCTTCGCCGCATGGGCTTGGAGAACGCGATTGAGATCTACATTGACGGCGGTGTCCGTCGTGCTACCGATATAATCAAGGCGCTGTGCCTCGGTGCCAAGGGTGTCGGTATCGGCAGACCTTTCCTGTACGCCATGGCCGGCTACGGCTTCGACGGTGTCGATCGCGCTATGCAGCTGCTCCGCGACGAGATGGAGATGAACATGCGTCTTATTGGTTGCACGAGCATCGATCAGCTCAACCCGTCGCTTATCGATACGCGGAGTCTGTTCAACCACGGATCTACGCCGTCTGACAACCTTATGGGTGCTGTGTACGACCCGTTGGCGACGCCGGTTCAGAGACCCAAGGCGCCCAAGCCGTCAAAGTTGTAGATTTGCCTCTTTCAGGACAAGTGCAATCGTAGCGTGAGCAGGTGTGGAGGGAAAGGTGTTCTGTTTTTTTGGGAGCGAATGAGACTTACCATGAGACCTGATCTTTGTATCAGATGTATGATATATATACTACCTATATACAGGATACTACCATGACTCAATATCTGATTCCTGTCGATACAGTGAAGGGAAACTCGAGTGTCTGCTCATTGGCTTGCGAGAGAGGGTCACAGCCTAAGATACTAGAATACTACCGGGTTCAGGGACTTACATCCCACCTCACCGCACTAGCCTAAGCCAAAGGTAAATGCTGGCTCACGCTTGAGGGGTTCTTGAGCGGTGCGATGTCTGAGCCTGTTTTATACCTTCAAGCAAACGCACTATTATTCGTAAGTAAGTACACCTCACATCAAACAAAGGCTCACATTTAAGAATAAGATTAATTTGTTATAGCTAAATATCATGGCAACAGTTCCAGACTTGAAGAAAAGGGTAATACCGGACATTAAGTAAATGTTTTCAGCAGAGCTATCCTCAGGAGCAAATCGGCCTACGAAGTCTACCAACCCTTAACTCAGTTCGAAGGGGTAACAGTAGCAAGCTGGCTCAGAACCTTCACAGGCGGGCCCGGAGTCATGATGTTCGCAACCGGGTCTGCATCTGCAGCAAAGTCAATCTTGACGTTGGGACCGAAAATCAAGCAGTGCGTGGACCCGCCAAAGTGGAAGCAGCCGATCGATTCGCCCTTCTTGAAGGAGTTGTCGGGCACGTCGAAGAAGTCCACCGACGAGACCTCGGCCATGCCGATCATGACGACCGCCATGACGCCGATCGCCGGGTTGTCGGCCTGGATGAGGGCCACGCCGCGCTTGGCGACCGCGGAGATGTAGCTCTGCGAGAGCTCGTCGGAGCCCGGGTCCGGGTCGGACTGGCCCTGGTCGTTGTGGAAGCTCCACATGATGGGCTCCGAGTAGTACGTCCCGTTGATGATCTTGGGCGCGCCGAGGTACCTGCCCGAGACGGGGGCGTGCCAGTTGTGGTAGCTGTCCGCGCTCAGGAAGGCCTGGTAGACCGTGCCGCCGACGAACTGCTGCGCGACGTCGGCGCCGCCCAGCATGTCGGCGAGGCTGTAGTTGGTGCGCTCGTCCTGGTTCTTGACCCAGAAGGTGTCCTGGAGCTGAACGCCGCGTTGGATTTCGAAGGGCGTCGACTCGGTGGCGCTGACGACGACGTTGTCGTCGTTGGGCGAGGCCAGCGGTCGCAGACCGGGCAGGAACTGGCGGGTGAAGAACTGGTCCCATGATGTGAAGCCGTAGGTGGTGGGGTTCTGGGGATCAGGGGCCTGGTACGTGTTGAGGAAGTTCATCAGACCGCCTGAAGCTTGTGCTTGCGGCGATAGCCAGCCGTTTGTTGCCGTCGTGATCGTCACGGCGGAAGCCGTGCTCTTGAGGAAAGCGCCCCAGTAGTTCAGCATTTTCTGGAAGACGCTGTTGACGTCGTCTCGGAGGAACGCCGCGAAGCCGGCCTCGGTGGCCATGGGCCAGTCCAGGAGGCCGTTGATCGGAGTGCCGATCTGGACTGAATCGTTCCACTGGATGGGACTTTGAATCTGGTAATTGAGAGCAGCAACGAGGTCGTCGAGAGTTCTGATCTCGGCGTTGGGCGCGCCTCCGGGGTATGTCGTGTACTTGGCCGGGACCTCGCTGAGCATCTCGGTAAAGAGCATGCGGACGATGGCGCTGTTGTTAAGAAGATTCTGAAGGTCGGCAATGGGAGGGACGATGGGCAGCTTTGCGGCGTTCGCTCTCTTGAGCACCTCTCTGACATGTTTCTGAATCCGATGGGGGTTTGACGGTAGCCATCCGCCAATGCGACGAGCCAAAGATTCGTGAGGCACGCGGCCATTCTTCTTAATGTAGACTCCAGGCATGATTTCTGTATTTCGAGTAGAGGCAGAGTTTGTGCGGGGTGAAGAGACAGGTGATGTAAGGTAGGATGTGTTCAAGGAGAATGATATGTCAAATTTGGGGGGGATGAGGGCCTCCTTTTATACATCGTTTCTATGGTCTCTGCACCCTCATGTTATTACTTTCTCTAGTACCAGGGCTACGAGGGTTGTTCGATGGATGCGTAGAACCGTAGACATACCATCTTAGCCAGCCATGTTTGACTCAGGGAGAGGAGTGGAATCTGTTTCCGGTATGCTGGTTGTTGGATTAGCAGGATGGAAGCTTGCAGCTCTAGTACATTGATATTTGTTGTTAACGAGTGCTCTTTCTTGCCAACGCTTCCTGTGGAAGTGAAGCTCTATGGTGGGCTGTGGAATAAAATGGTTTTTGAACTTTGAGTTTCTTCCTGGCTATGACTTGTTACCTTCTAGGAAACGTGATGGATTTCCAGCAATATTCTCGCGATACCAAATTTTGTGTTCCGAGAAGCCTTGAATATGGGGAATACTAGGCTGTGGTGCTCACTGTCCTTTTCCCCAGTCCATACCTACTGACCCTCAGCGGCGTGATCCAATGTGCGAGACATGAGCCGGTTTACGGAAGAGTGCTCGGCATTGGCTATCACATCGGAGTAGCAACGCATTCTTACGATAACGGAGCACCATTCATCAGCCGCAGCTCACTAATAAGAGAGCTGAGGTTCAACATTCCGCATTCGACACCAAATGATAATCTGTACCCCGCGGCGGGAACACTGTAGGGTTCAAGACATGTGTCACTTGATTGGATGGCTCAATCCTCGATATCAGGCGATGCTGAAAGTCTGAAGCCTATCAGCTTTTCACAATGGGATTCCAATAACTCGGATACAGCCGCAGACAGCATGACCGTAGGGCCGAGAGACGGTAGTTGTTGTGACTATCCGGAAACGGTCATACAGGTGTTGGCGCTACGGAGCATTTCGTGCGCGCCACTGTCTCTCTAGTCTTCGCGTGGCGGAAGTGTAAGGCAGAAAACGGCAGAGAGGTTACCGTTGATCCAAGAACCGGGAGGATAAGAGCGATCCATCCCACGAGCTACCGTATGTTATGCGGGGTAAAGAGGCGTCTAAATGCCAGCCGCACACAAGCCACCGTGAGATGCGAAGCTGCTCGTGAGGAATTATAAGAGTTTTTCCCGTTCTTTTTTTCTTCTTCTTTTTCTCTTGCGTATCGAGCCGAAAGAGTCAAATGTTGACAGCCGAGATAGTCTGGGATAGGGATCGTTGAAGCAGCTGCGGGAGCCGAACTCGACATCCGAGAGTAATCAGTCTCGTTCTTACGAACCTAGTTGGGGCAAGAAGGAGCGAGGCTCACAGCACTAGACCGAAATTTTAACGATTGCTGCTACGTCCCATGTCACCCATTCATCTTCCGGATCACTTTGCTCTCTCTGCACAACTTAATCATCATAAAAGCTAGCCCCTCTATGTTGACTCTAGCATAGACGCAACGGAAGACTTTCACTCGTGCTGGAAGCCATCTAGTGAGATTTGAAGCACCTAGGTAAAGACTGATGTACTCCTCTCCTCCACCACTGTGTATGAGAGGCCAGCTGCTCAAAAACGAGTGCCGAATGACTGACATTGAACCTTGAAAAAAAGGCTTCTCCAAGAAATCCTGTGGAAGCTGTCTTGGGGACAGAAAACCCTGGTAAGACGCCATGTCCCATGTTTTGCAAAGGCATAAGATGACTCTCTCACTACGATATTGAGACGGTCAGGTAATCTCATTGTAGAGATTATAAAACACGATTCAAATTACCTTTGTCGTAGAGCCTGAGGTTAATATAAAATGGAGCAGCCTTGCGCTCTCAGTGAAATAATTGACCAGACTGCGTCGGTCGGTTGATGTCGCGCCAGCTTCTCTGGTGATGGGCTTTGCGATTGGCTTGAAGGAGGGTTTCGAGATAAAAACTTCTTTCCTGTACCAGCTGCAGATGAAGTTGCTTCACCTTGTGCAGTATCGGATACTCGTGGCGTATTCCTTGGCCAATAAGCTTGTATTGAATAGAATTGCGGAAGAGTGTTCGCTGTGAGTTGGGAGGTAGATGCAGCAGGATTTCTCTGGTCTTGTATACGAGCGACATCGACTAAATAGCATGGCCATCCGGCGTACGAAGCCTTCAACCATGACCATGCCATGTCTTGACTGAAGTGTGGGCGCTGATACGGCGGCCATTTATACCCTCTAGGTTGAGTGGTTGCTAGTGCCTCTCAAGGTGTCCTCCTCTAGGCAAGCACGTCGGGCTGAGAGATAGGTATCTCTTCTTGAGACATGATGAGAGGCAGACGACGACAAGTGTTTGGGTAAGAAGCGTGAAGTTTCATCATCGACTGACATCACGGCATAATGGGTACAAGACACCCCTTTCAAGGAAAACTAGGTGTTGCTTTCTTACTGCATCCCAGCTTACACCAAGAAAAGCAGGCCACGTAGGTACGCCTTACAATCAAATCCTAGCCTCCGTCCTGCTAAGTAAGGTACTCTGAGCTGCAGATAGATGGCGTAGCATCAGGAAAATTCAAGCGACAGCGAACTTGATGCTAGAGACTACTTACACCAACCTAAGTACACGAGATTCGGAGTCCTGCTCAGAGACTAAAGAAGGCGACACCAAAGCTCCTCCAGTGTATTGACGAATTGTTGAATCTCCTATCAGAACGTGTAGGCGATGCCCATGTCTGCCTTGATGACAAAACACCCGGATGGCCATTCGACTCGTATCGAGATGTGCTGGGCAGCACACTTCAAGGATCGTATTCAGCAAAGTTTCGGGGCGTTTCTGCGTCGGAGATTAACCCCACGTCCAAGTCATTCTGCGTTTGGGCAGATGAAGTTGCAGCTAGAACAAAATTCGCTGTTTTTGTATTGTTGATCAAGATCTTGCAATTACCATGGTGCCATTTCGGGTAGTTGGGAGAGATCATTGATCCAAAAGAGGCAAAGTCTTTCACGAGAAGGCACTCTCGTCATTTGGATCCACGTATAATTGGGACCGAGTCTACTCCGT